ACCGATGACAACTCTAAGACCTACAAGAAATGATTTTCATGTTTTTTCGTCATGCAGCCTGTTTTTCACTGGAAGGCGAGCCTTGGGGGCGGGGTCACTGGAAAAAAGGAGGCGTCACTGAACATATTTCGCGTTATGGCGCCCCTCCCTCACTTTTTTGCCATGAAACCGGCACAGAATTTTTTCGCCTTGGGGGCGGTATTGTAGGAACCTGAGCGCGACGAAGTAGGCGAACGATGACTTGAGTGAAAGTACGCTCGAAATACTCTCGCCAAAAGCTGAACACAATGACGTAGTTACGATTTTAGGTCATTTTGATGTCACAGGACTCGAAGTCAGCGCCAGTCTTGAAACACAAGACCGCACCTCGGAAAGCTGAAATTAACCCGGTTTTTGATGAGATTCTCCAGGTTGGAGTTGTTCCTGACCTTTTTGAAACCAGTTATTGCTCAACATCTTGTACAGTTAGCTTGTACTTTTTATTTTACTTTTAATTCATTTCTCCCTTACCAAAAAGTTATTCTTTCAGTTTCCTCGGATTAGCAAATCTGAAGTGGAGCAACATCGACTAAAAGTCTCTGTGTGGCATAAAGATCTTCTCACCCAAAATTCCCTTATCGGAGAGGTAAACCCTCCGAGAGATCTAAAATCGTTTTAGCTTGGTTACAATGATCACGTTTTAAAGACGATGATATCGTTACGAGACCACGATTGGGATTCTCCTCCGAGTCCCGTTTGGTACCAGTTGGAGGCGAAGTCGGTTGGTCAGTGCTTACGTGATGTGGTTCGACCCGTGTGCTTAACGCAGGGGAAAAAGCGGAATAGGTTCCCAAAACTGGAGAGATTCCCTCAAAAATGGAAATATCGAAGATCAACTTATTGCTTAGTAAGCAGGTTTTATGCCATTTTTTTGCTGTCGTTAAGCCTGAGCATGGCTTTAGCATAGTTCACTGGCTTTGCTGCTTTTGTAGAAAATCAGTCAAGCAGAAGTAGAATCGAAATTTCCTATTTTCAGAACTTCTCCAATACATCCTCCCTTTCAACTTTGTGATTAGCTAGTCCGCTTTTTTCCCAAATGGGCATGCGTGCTTTACTGCTCATGGAACGTTCCACGTAAACGCTTCTGTTTAATTTCAGGAGATTCCTCCGGATCCATGTCCATGGAAAACGGCTACTGCGAATGTCCACATTCGCCTGACATTCTCGCTGTGGGATCGGGAACGTCGGATCGGCCCCCTCTCACTGCTGTTACGAGACGCGCACTTTTCCGAAATGCCTCAAATTCTAGCAGCACATCGTCACGCAACTCTCGTGGCGTCCGCGTGAGTGCATTTGTTCTGTTTGGTAGAGAAAAAGACCATTTTGCCCTAGATAACTCAGCTATTGGGGAGCAGTAAAGATTCAAATGGGTAAACCATTTGTGCCAATCAATCTTTACCAGTATGCTGTTGCTGCGCTCAGGCTGCGTTTCTATTAGGTCATCCCATTCAAAAGTGCCGCCGGTTTTTTTCGAATAAAACAAAGAGGAGAATAGATAAAAAAGTAATATTTTGGCTTCAAGTTAAGTAAATCCCTCCTTCACCAATGACCCGCTCCCAGTGCCCCGAAAGCCTTTGGACCTCTGGTACCTTCGATTTTTCAACAAGTGCGAGTAAATTGCTGTTGATGCCAATGACAAAACATTGTAGCGTTTGCCGTCGGAGAGTACTCTCGACTGACGAGAACAATTGGAATCGCTCGGCTTTATGTCGGGCGAATGGGGCGATTGAACCCAGGTCTCAGTATTGTTGTGTCCCAGCACTGCCCTACAATACAGTTACTCGGGTCTGGCACTATGACGAGCAACGGTGGCCTTCTTGTAGTTGTGTGGTATCATCCATTTGTCGATCTGATTGCCGAGGAACAGGCAATATACACCGACAGCGACGATTTTATTCTCTGTATAGAGCCGCCTGAAAGCCTCAGTGTAGGAATCCTTCGCTATGATGATCATCCACTTGCGCCCACGTAACTCATGGTAGAACTCGGGCGGCTTCTCATCTGCATTCATACAAAATTGACGATTGTGAGTTTTGGCTCGAGGTCCAAGACCACCCATATTTCATCTAGGGCCGGGGTGCGTTTTCACAGTCGTGAATGACATCTCATGCTGAGAACATTACTGCTAGAGGCATAGAATCGGTACTGCGTTCGTGCTTCTACAAGAAAATTAGGTACCCATGCGCACACCCTCTTGACCATCCTCAGTTTATCGGACATAACTCGGGCAGCAGTTGCAGCTGGGATGTCAGACTCGCGGGGAACTCGACAACGTATAGAGTCCTTCTTGGGAGACATTTCAGCGTCTTGAGCTTCATCCACCCTTATTTTGTTGTTGCAGTGAATGAACAGTAAATGGAACCAGTCCACGACAACTAAATTTTTTTTGCCCTTTTTCTTCTTCCGGCTCCTGAATCCAAAACCTCCCACCTTATGTTTCGTAGAACACCATTATACATCACAACTACTGTCTCAGTCCCGGTCCGAATTCTGACAGTCGCACTTCTCCTCTAATGATGTCTGATTTGAAAATCGAGCGCCTGATTCACACCATTTGGGTTTCTTTCAAATTTCTCGAGAACTTCCCTCTGGGCGGGTAGTCCCGCCAAATTCACAAACATACACAGCTAAAAGCGTATCTACCTCGCAAATTGGTATAGGTAGCGCCGCTTTCCCTATCCCTTTGCTTTTCTGCCATTCCCTGACATGTGCCACCGGCACTTTTGATGGGATGACCTAATACTTGCGACAGCGTCCACTAACGACCGGTGGCGTCCACCAGCATTCCGAGCGTCTAGCAGCTCAGCAAGCGCGAAAGTATAGATGTCTGAGTCTAGCGTCTGCCAGCGTCTAACAACGTCTGCTTGCCGAATCGTCTGCTAGTTTCTGTCAGGCGAACAGCTAGCGTCTGGACTGGGAGATCAGTGGACGATAGATGTACAGAGCTGTCTGCCTACCTGCCCCTAATCGCGCCGTACACTCCGTCCACTCCGGGACAGTCCGCTGTCGCTGTGACGTTTATCTAGTACGCTGGTCGAGCGCTAGACCGATGACCCATTTACTTTTCCTATCCCTGAGCAACGGACTCTGTGACCCGCGGCCAGCAAAGTTATGAACGCATGCTGTTCATGGTCATGCAATGGAAGTGTAAACATTTGATCACAACGTCAATCCGCCTCGCGGCGCAGCGCTAACTCCTTCACTTTTGCTTCAAAGTTTTTTCTCTGACATACTTTCTTCCGTCTGTTCAAAGTAAGGTTTCTGTTGGCAAAGAGTGGCGGAGCTCCCATCCTCAAGCTGCGCAAGTTACGCGGTCGCTTCCACAGTGGACAAACGGTCGCCAACAGCAAGAAACTAGAAACCCTCACAGTCTCAAGTGTAGAAGAGTGCTGCGAGATAACATCTATGATGAATTTACCCACTTAGTTTGACTGCCGGAAAAAACGTGAGAAAGGAGCCTATACTTTTAAGACATCCTGTATAGGAGAGGACTGTTGGCACAAGGATACACAGTCATCCTTTGGGTACTGTCTTCACTCCCACATGAACTATATATAAGCGCAGTGAAGTCAATTGCCAAAGGTAGTGAGGCGATTCTGAGTGAGATTGCTGGGACTAATGATGACCTCAGCAACCACAGGCTGGTGCCTTGGACGCGCTGAGTTTTGGCTGCTGGCTCATTTATGAAGTGCCTAGATCACCAAATCCGCTGAAAACTTGTATACAGGAGTTATTCAACATCCTGATTACGAATATGACATTCATTCTTGGCGCTGGCGCTAATGGAGGACACTACGATTATCTCCTGGGCTCAGCCTTAGCAGAGCGCAGATAATCGTAGTGTTCTCCATTAGCGCCAGCGCCAAGAATGAATGTCATATTCGTAATCAGGATGTTAAATTACCCTGTGTACAAGTTTTCAGCGGATTTGGTGATCTAGGCACTTCATGGATGCCGGCAACCAAAACTCAGCGCGTCCAGACGACATCAGTCGCACTGTCATCATCCGCAGCCGAGCCGTGAAAGTGGTTCAGCCTCTACAACTGCGGACCTGCCTGTCTTGTAGAGGGGATTCTGCACAACGGATACCAAATGTTTCTTTAACCCCTGGACGAGGTTCCAGACAAATTTTCTGCAACAGAACGGCAACATATGACAAGGAAGCACTTTGGCCCTGTTAAATCAGTTTCATGACTCCAACAATTGGTCAGCAATGCCTTTCAGATATTTGTAAACTGGGACAATGTGTTGCTTTTGATTATATTAGCTCATCCCCAAAAGAACGAGAGTCACCGTGCGGAAGACATTTCCGCTTGGCCAACATCGTTTGCCATGTCTCTGTTTGCCTTTGGATGAATAAAACATCTTGATAGTGAAATCAGTCGGCGAAAGATCACCAGTTCAAGAGAGCGTTTGCTATGTGCAACATAAAAGAGCAGTATACAGCATCATACTTATCCCTTGTTTCACATCGCATAGTCGAGGATAGATTTTCCAACAGCTTCCTTATTTTGAAGTACTGTACAATTTAGTTGAATAGGTTCAGTCAGTCATTCTGGAAAGATATCCTGTAGCCCTCTGCAGTATTTCTGGAAAATTGCGCGTCTACTTCTAGATATTAGGTGAAGAAAGAAATGGAAATGCATAACAGCCGTCGGATGTCGTCGCAGAACCTGGCGCAGTCGGCTTGGTGGGGCGCCGAAAGCTACTCCGTTAGGCCTATGCAGGTCACCTTGTGAAGACCTGTAAATTTTCTGAACAAAGTGGCTCACTTGTACTATTTTGCAGCTTCGCAAGTTGACAGGCCAAAATGAGACGTGCAAGTTAGCATGGACTTGTACTAGGGAAAGCTCACAATGCTCCCCATAGGCATATGACGATACTTTGGTACTTGGTCTGAAATGCTAGCAGGTGCTATATAGTGGGAAAATGGCGAAAAAACGAAGTGAAACGGTCAAAAACCTGCGAAGAAAAGCCTTCGTTCTTAATGACTCAAAAGCAATTTCGAATGAAACGTATCGTGCTGTCGTGATCTCGGGCAGTTGATTAGCCTGCCCCAGGTGTCGCGATTTTCACGACGTGGCAGCTGTTTCGCAACCCTAAATTTGCGAATTTTTCCTAATTTCACCTGCATTTCCTATTTTTTTCGAGAGTTAATTTACATAATTGTCTAGTACTGAAAGGAACTAAAACCTACGGCATTTCTTTCATTTTATCTGCGGTAAGATAGGGTTTTTCGCGATTTTCTTAGCCTTTGTCTAATTATTTGTTTCATCGTTTAATGTCGCAAAAGTATAAAGATTCCAGTTGCAATTCCACAGCTTATGAAGCCGAAGGAATGCTAACCTTGAAAAACGCAGCCAAAAGCAGTGAAAAGGTAGGGAAAATGACTAAATTAGGCTGGAAAAAGCAAATAGTTCCTACGCACGCGGTCGCTGCTGCGGCCGCGTCTGCGGCCCGTTTAACGACCGCCCTAATCAACTGCACTCGGATGATCAAAGTTACTCATGAAATCCATGGCCAACACCAGGGCTTACTTCACATCAATCCCCTCGCTTCATATTTATTTAGCAAATGAAGCGGGGGCGCTTCTTAAAGGTGGCCGTACTTGTATGAAAAGGTGGTACGCGCACTAGCCCAACGGGCGCAGAATTACGTCCGCCAGGTGAATTCCTACGCGTCTTACGGATATCGTGGCCAATGCCTCAAAGCAAACGACGCAAAACAACGGGGCACAGATGTTCATTTTGCTGAAGAGAAATTCAGGAAATCTTCCTACCGATATTCCCGTAAAATAGGACATATCATGCCTGATGAACTACAGTCGCAACATACCTGCCTACGAGATGAGCGGGATATACATACAGAATCTGGATGTTCTTTACTTCCTAGTAGCACTTTTACTTTCCTATACCACGTGCGAAGGTGACGACCTTAAGCTGGGGCGGAAAAGAAGAGACAGCCATCAATTCCGACACGTTCTCATTGCTTCCGGCTCCTGTTGTTGAACTAGTTGGTTGTGCTTTTTCAATAGTGGATGGCCCAAAAACTACTGGGGAGTTTTTCTGTTTGAGTTTGGGCAACACCTCAAAATTGTAGCAGATCGCTTTTAGAAGGCTGTATTTCAACGAAAAGCAGATGGAGCGGAGGAGGAGCGAGAGTCGTCGACTCGAACAAATCGAAAGTCAATGGAATTGGAGCACGACCTTTCCACGACAAAACCTCAACGATCTCCACCTAAGGTTAGTTACGTACTAGCTATGTGGCATGTTTTCGAGCGGGTCTGCAGCAGACCACGTCGTACGTTGGGCAATCCCCTGCGGGGGAGTCATATTTGGTCGCTGGGTGGAGGGGGGTCGTAATTCGGCCCCCTCTCTCCTCGCTCGACAGCAAACAAAATCGTAAGGAAAAACCAGGAAATCTCTAGGATATCCGAAAACTAGAAAAAGTGGCAGGAAGTTGGGAAAATCTAGGTAAGGGTAGAGAGGATCGGGAAGGAGGATCGTATCAGAGGTGGGAATTAGGGGGGAGGGGAAGGATGGGCGTACCTTCCGAAAACTTTCCCCAGCGGCAAGACGTGACTTGGTGCAGTCACACAGAGTGTACCACTTACCCTCTGAAAAGATGCGGTAAGATCACCTAAGGATCTGATCATGCCTCCTTCAGATGTTTGTGCTACCAGTTATGTACTTCCTTGCCCGCGGTTGTCTGGTCTCACCCAGCGCGCTGAGCGTCTCTCCCATTTCGAAAATCAACCTGACCTTATTTAGGGCGTTTTCTACAGGTTATCCTATTTTCTATGCAATTTCGTAAAATAGCACTCGCAAACTCTTACTTGAACCCAATTGTCCACGATCTGCAACTGAAGAATGTGTCTTTAGGTTCAAAGCCATCATGTTCTAGTACATGAGCACTCTGAACATTTCCCAAATAGCTGCGAGTCTGAGAATCCGGCTGAGTTTCATGTAGCGTTTCTTCACCCTATTTGTACGGGAAGGCCGAAATCGGATCATTCTTAACAACTGAAGGAATTTTTTTGATTTCTGATTTTCAATCTCTTTTTGATTGGATGTGTTGTTTTTTATTTTTATTACCTTCAGTCGTTTTCTGCCATACTACTTTGAATGAAAATTATATTGCTTATTTATTTATTTACTAATTTATTCATTTTCATACACTCAAAATGTGCTATTTCACGCAATTAAGGAGTCTGAAATTGAAGATCAAGCTACAGACTGGACCATTTGGGTATAAAACAATTGGCCAACTCATATTCAACGATTACGAGCACAGACGAGGTCCGTCCATTAAAGGCAGATAATCGATTTATTGATCTTACCTAGGTACAATCAATTTAAAATTCTTCAGGGCGAAGCATTCTGCAGCCATGCACTTGTCTATGCTGTTCTTCATGGAAAAAGCTAATCGATAACCCATCAATACCCATTGAAGCAGAGCTACCGTTGACCCTTGTTAGTTGATCGTTTCGAGGTATTTTGTCAATAAAAAGGGCCAAGCACTTTGATTGTTTCTCAGATTCTTTGCAGATTTTACGAATATAAATGTACTTGTTAATTTTTGGTTTTTAATAAATCTTTGGTCGGTTTATGACGGACCTTAATAAAATCGTGCGTTCACTGTTAAACACAATGAATTCGTAATTTCTGGGGGGTTTTACCGATTGTGTTCCGACGATCACCGTGCAATAATAGGCCGAGTACAATTGAATAGTGTGAAGGTCAAGTGAGCGCTCCCGAACCCGGACTCTCATTATAAGTCGTCTATTCTGACGAGAGTCATCCAACTGGGATGCCTTTAACTTTCCTTGTTTCTTGTAACCCAATTTCTGTCTAGGAGCCAATCAAGGTCCACTTTTTTCGCGTTCAAACTACCTTTCTCTATCCACGGTGGTCTCTAGTGTCGGTAGGGCCGCTGAGGTCAGTCCACAAGCGCGCTGTAGACTTAGCCCCGTTTACTTCCCGTGCTGAGAGCGCGTTACGGCAGAGGTTTGCCCCACCAAGATTCTGCATGGATTCATCTTGTGCCCAATTGACCTGTGTGGCTTGTTCAAAGGCAAAAGCACATTATAATTATCATGGCTCTTTAAGGTAGGGGGTGTTGCGGCCTGTAGCGAACAACACTATATAAGCTTCATGTCAAAAGTGGTAAGGTAAGGGGCGGTAAGTTGCAAGATTCCCAGGTAACTCCGCCTACTTTGATAGATGTCTTATCTGTGTTCTACATCGTTTGCATTTTCTCTCATCACTTCCTGTGTTCTCTCGCCCGATATGCAAACTGATTCTATTGTCTCTTACTGGCCCCAAGTAAGGCCTTGTCTAGTCTTCGACTGTTTCCTCTCTTTATTTTTTTACAGGTTAGTCAAATAGCACATACACTTCTGTTTCTCACCTCGCTACCTACGAACATTTCGCTGGCTCATAGCGAATCTGCCTTTGAAGCGAGCACCGCCAGACAATGCTGGAAACTCCGTGATATTCTGTCCCACTGCATTTTCTCGCATAGATCAGCCTCAACTAGAGGGGTAGAGAATTTTGCAAAAGACTATGTATGAATTGATTTCTCCAATTATTCACTTCGAATTAAATGGATTCGCACCTGACCTTCTTCGCGTTCTCCGATCAGCCGTTTTTCCCACTTATCCGGTTCCTCGATTTTCGAGATTGATACATTTACCCTATTTTGTGGGGTTCTGCGGTATACAGCTCACTTACTTGCAAGGTCGCAGAGGCATATGACAAGATGCGAAATTTCCAGGTACCTCACTAAGCCATTGCTTTGTCTTTTTTTGCATATTCTCATCTCCTACGTGGTTATGAAGCACTTTCTGGGTTCGGCTCGGCTTGGTGAGGACGTTTTTTAGCGCCCGCCCATTACTGCCCATGTCTCCTATGAAGAACTGTAAATTCCCCAGTAGCTGTGCAGCCGCATTGGCATTTAAAGGCACAGTTCGCGACCGCGAATTGCGGGAAACGGAACACAGAACTCAAATAGGCACAAAAAAGTGCTAAGTATCTGATTAGCGGAGAAAAGCAGCAGAAAAAGCAGTCCGAAATGTTATAGAGAAAGATAACATAGTGGCTACTAGCTAGTAGCTAGCAGCCGGTGAGGGTCGGCATGGGCCTAAGGGGTGTCCATGGGCCTAATTAGTCAGCTTCTAGCGGAGTTCTTGCCGTTTTTCACATTTTGAAAGAAGCGCAGCCTCAAAAATCGCCTTCTTGATCGTCCGACACATTTGCAGAGGTCATAGCCTTATTTTTTCGCGGAATGTGCCTTTAACGAGACCCCACAAGTCTCAGCAAGGTGAGCAATTTACTAGGAACTACCTACGAAGTCAGCGGAAACTCGAAATGCGTCCACCCCCAAGCCGAGCAGCATCCTTCTTTTAATGAATATTCTATCCGATACTTCATCGAATTAATTAAGGAAATGAAATTGACCACCGATAGGGCATTGGTAATTCATCAGTGATTTTGGGATGTGAAATCTGCTGCTTACGATAGTATTCGCATTTAACACATTTGAGACTCGCGGTTTCTGCGCGACCCTCGTTCGAGTGCTTTGGCGGTTTAGGAGCGTGGCATTGGTTGCAGTGTACAGTCCTCATCATTGCGGACCGGTGGGGCGTGTCAGCCAGTAGGAGTGCGCACACTGTTGAAGCCGTTCTCAGCCTTTTTTGTTGAAACGCGTATGCGACAAAAAGTGGTAGAAAACGAGTAATACGAAGGATATAATACAGTAATGTCACTTGCCCGCTTCAACAACTGGTGCAGAACGACTTCATCACCGCGGAAGACGGAGCCGCACTGACACGCCCCACCGGTCCGCAATGATGAGGACTGTATATTGTCACAAAACGAGAGTCCTTTTGCTTACAAATTACCACCTCAAAATCTAAACTGTTCTTGGTCATACCTCGCTCATGGGCTTAACTAGGGCCGTCATCACGAATTTATCACCAGCGTTCAAAATAGCGTCAATATGAGAGGGCGAACTGTTTTTGTCAGAATCCACATAATGGATCCCTTGGGTACAACGGACAGCGTAATTAGTCTGTGAGCGTAAAGTGCGGGTTCGGGTTCGCCTGGGGTCACGATTTTGCCACAAACTTTGATTCTGGTGACAAAAATTGAGATTCAAGTGTGTGCCTAGTCAGCATTGCATGCAGCGTTTAGTGTGACAGAGACATGAAAGCATTCTTTTAGACGATCCAGTCGCAGCAAATGACAAGAAGGCGCGACAAGGGTGCGCTTTACACACACAGTCGTCATCCGGGCAGTTGATTAGGCGGTCAAAGGGTTGCAGACGCGGCTGCGGCGCGTCACGACCGCGGCGATCAGCTGTTTCCAGCCTATTTAGCCATTTTCTCCCTAATTTTCACTGTTTTTGGCTGCTTTTCTTAAGGTTAGTTGTTCCTTGTCTTCACAAGGTAAATTATGATTGAGATTTCTCTAATTTTTGCGAACAATTAAATAATTAAAAACAATTGAACAAATACCTAAAAAATTGCAAAAACACTTGATTGCAAAACAAAAAGAATCCGCGTCCTTGATATACTTCATGAAGACAAAAAATAACTTACCTTGAAAAAATAACACAGTGAAAATTAGGGAGAAAATGTCTAAATAGGTTGGAAAGAGCTGATCGCCGCGTCTGCGACCCTTTAACCACCTAATCAACTGCCCGGATGACGACTGTAGAGAATGGAGTGACATTCCTTCTTGATTTTCCTATTCCAACGGAAATGTGTCTAAACACAGTCTCGTGGGTAGGGGTCAACAAACACGAGGTTTCCAGGCGTTCAATTTGCAGTTTTTGAGCAGACTATAGCGTCTCCCTGGCTTTTCTCAAATATTAGGTCATCCCATTCAAAAGTGCCGATGGTTTTATTCGAATAAAACAAAGAGGAGAACAGATAGAGAAGTGATATTTTAGTTTTGAGTTAAGTACATCTCAATGGCCCACTCCCAGGGCCTCGACAGCGTTTGGACCTCTGGTGCCTTCGGTTTTTCAACAAGTGCGAGTAAATCGTCGTTGCTGCCAATTTCGGCGGCAAAATGAACGAAACTTGTAGCTGTCTTGGCCGTCGAAGTACCGCTCGACTGACGCAGAAAACAGTTGGAAATTGACACGGGCTTTTTATGCTTGGGACAATGGCCGATTGGAACCCAGGTCTCAGTAATTGTTTGTGTCCCAGCATCTGCCTACAGTAATAATTACTAGGGGTTTTGGCGAATTGGTCGCGAACGAAGCTCGGAACAAAGCAGTCCAAGCTCAGTGGTCAGACCATTAGCGCTTGACTTTATTCACTCTTTTTTTTATTGTGCAGCGAATGAACAATTGTGGTGATCGATCTACGACATAACAACCGATTTTTTCCTTTCTTCCTTCGCTTCGGGCTACCTGAAGCCAAACCTTTCACCTTTTATGTTGTCGTCAGCAGTAATATACTTGGGCCGGGCGCAAGGTCAAATTCTGAGCAGCGCATGTTCCCTCTTTATGACGCAGTGATTTTGAAAATCCGCACATGATTTTCACCACTCAGGCTCTTGCTGAGACAGCGTTCCTCTTGCATGGGACTGTACCGTTAAGGATACATACAAGTCTATCTTACCAAGCTGTGAATGGAGCCAAGACCTCAATCTAACAATGTTCACGTGCCTCTCGGAAACGCGGCCGCTCGAATCAGCGGACAAAATCAAGGTCCTCGGCTGAGTGGAGAGCGAATTCTCTTTACCATACACACAATTTGTTTTTTTTTTTGGTAAAGCAGCCTTCGCTTATAATACCGCCCCCCTGCACATTGAACACTTCATATCTCGGGAGTTGGGGAGGGCTGGTGCGTGCCGCATGAACGCTCACCCCACGGATTGCGCTGCATCGATTGAGCAGGCCACAGCTGCCCTTAATTGGGAGAGCCACATGCAAAGCAAGTCTTTTGTGGAGGGCAACACGCTAGGAGCTGGCACGTTTGCGTTGACTATGGAAACATCGGTCGCGTTAATAGAACGAAACTACACGTTGTCGAACATGAAGGCACGCAGCGGACTTCTTCCAGTTGTCAGGGATAAATGCCTGTACGCCGTTCCCGGAATCCAGTTTGAACTCTCGTATTTTCTAACTGGTAAGATCCCCAGTCCGAACAAGTGTTGACATTATCATTTGGCAGGTAATCGCTGAAAGTTCGAAACCGCACGTCATTTCAGGGAAGTCGGATCGTTAGTCATATTTTCCCTTGAATCAGCTCATTAATCAGGTGCAGTAAAACGGTCATCAGCCCGTGTCGTTAATCCAGAAATGAAGTGAAAAATGGGGGTACGAGGGGAGGACAGGCTAAGCGGTTTTCCAAAACGTTCCGGGGAACTGGATGTGAAAAGATCCGAGGACTGATAGGATAATTTTATATTTCAGCCGCTTGATTTCTGACTTGAACTTGTTCATATCCCTCTGCGTTTATTCGCTC